TCAACGGCGGCTCTGCGTCCAGTTCTCTTTCCTCCTCTCAAGTCGATTTGCCGTCGTCTCGCTCTTCCAGCGATCCGGTCATCCCCACAACGACCGCAGCATCGACCAAGCTCAACGGAACGCCGGACAGCTCCAAAGGGGATTGTAATGGGCCTGATCATTTGAACGGATACGCCAAGGGCAATGCCGACATGTCGTATGTGCAGAACAATGGTGTCGCCTCGCAGACCAGTGGCGATGTTGCAGGACTGGCTTCGCGTCGTACTGAGAAGTCGGCAACCGGTGCCAAGAGGTCGCCTTCGAATGCATCGATTAACCCTCTCCAACTCGCGTCGACCATCCTCAAATCGTGCCCCATGTACGACACGATCGCCATCTTGATCTTTCTGCTCCAACTTCCACCGATGGTTCTCACTCTGGTTCAGTTTTTGTTCGCCTCTTTGACCTTCTTGCCTCCTAGTGGTGCGTCGGCTGGTTCCTTGACGTCCAATTTCGACATCTTTCAAGGGCCCGCCGGAACTCCTTCCCTCGGTACAATGATTGCGATGGATGGATTCTGTCTACTCATATGGGGCTTGTTCATGTGGACCTGGGCGCAAAATTTCGCGCTTGACCTGGCCCACGTTCAAGTTGCCATCACGCTAGGTGGTGGGGGATTTGGGAAAAACGGGGGGGTGAACACCCTCTGTGTTGGTATAGTTTTGATAATGCACCTTGTGCGGAGCAAAGGTATACAGGATTTTGTTATAGGTCATCTTCTTTCCTCGAACATCATCAGTCCCGATATGTTGTCGCAATATTCGCATCTTTTGCCTACTGAGTTTCGACGCACTGAACCGCAGACGTCGCCGAGCTGGCTTCGGAGTCTACTCGCAGTCCATATACTGGCCCAAGCCGGCACCGCCATGGCGAGACGGTCAATGGCGAAGAACAGAACGCCTAATCCTCCTCGCACCGGCAAGCGCATCGACACGGAAGCGTCCGCCGGCTCGCAGACACAAATCGATTCTGCCTTCGAGTCAGGGGCCAGTGTTTCGTCATATATCGGTGCTGATGGGCAAATTGTCACTCCGACAGCGCACAAGGATGGTAGGGATCGACTACTTTCGGCGAAGAAACGCAGGAGACAGGCAAATCAGGTGCGGAGTCGTCAACCGTTTTGGGCGGCACTGGCAAGCACAAAGATAACCGTCATGAGAGAGTATGAACACTCTAGGGCTTTGTCGAAGACAGCTCGCGGTCTTCCCGTGACCGAGGATGATCTTCAAGGTCTTTCCTTGGACGATGGACTTGTATGGATTACGGAAATCGACAGTTCAACAATAAAATTTGCAGCTGGTGATTTTTCTTCAGCGGATGACTCGACCGGTTCGGGAGCTTGCGAAGCTGGATGTCTAAGGAGCGAGGATACGGAACCGTTCTATGTGTGCGTGAATGGAGCTCTTTGGGCCACCGCCACAATATGCAAAGTGCATGATGCACCGAAAGGATCGAGTATGGTACATTGGCGGGGCGAGATTTCTGGTCTGGCCCCCAATTGTGCTTACACTTGCTCGTTTTTACGGAGCGATACCGATGAGGAGATTTGCGTCATTAGTGTCAAAACTCCTTCGACTAATGATGCGGAACAAGGTAAGAGCGACCTTCTGTGGATCTTTCACACTCTGGAAGTTTTATTAATTCTTCAAAGCAGCAGTCTCGTCGGTGTCAACTCCACCCCAGCCATCGTATCGTCCTTCATCCCCAACGACTACGCTGAAGAACTCTATCGTCAACGCTGAAGCCAAGTTGAATGAGAAGCGGTCTCGGCTCAGAAAGGCCAAGAACGATCACAAGCTTGTCATTTCCAAAATCAGGAAGGAGCTTGACAATTACAACCATCGTCTACACAGCGGAACAGATGAAAACAGGCAGAAACAACGCTCGCTGCAACTGGAAAGGAACATTCGGCAAACTGAAGAGGCCACTGCTCTACTTGAGGATCAGCTTGACAACCTGGAGAATGTCCCCGAGGAAGAACTTCGAGAGTGGTCGGATCAGAAAGCCAAATACGAACACGAGCTGAGCCTTCTCAATTCGGCAAAGGAGGAGCTCGCCACTGCTCGGTCCGCTGTTGCCCGTGAAGTGTCGTCCTTGGAAACTGAGTTGAGCTCTGCGATCCAGAGGCGGGAGCGTCTTCAAAGCCGCCGTACTAGGATCAACGAACAATATGAGAGGATTGTCTCTGCTAATGCGCAAGGGCTCAATGAGCGCGAGCGTCGCGCAGCAGAACAATTTGCCCGAGAGCAGGACCAAGCAAAACTCGAAGCGACTTTCAACGAGCAGTTTGCCACTATTGGGCAGTCTGTGCAGGAGTACCAGTTGCGCGCACAACAGATCTGGCAACAATGTGACGCTATCGAGCAAGCCATCCAGCAGCAACACCAGCAGATGCTCTTGGATCCTGGTCCATTGACTCCCGAGGGCAATCTGCCTGGGACGAATCCCTTCTCCGAGGCGGCCTTACCACTTGGCGCATTGACATCGACTGCTCCGAGCAACAGATCACTGCTAGGGCTCAGTTTCCCGTCTTTGAAGTCTAGTCCCCTTCAGACCGCGTCTTCTCCTGTTGGTGCGTCATCTTCTCACCCCACGAGTCCAGTACAGCAGCCGTCGTATCTCAACTTTCCAACTTCCCCCCTCGTCAATGCCAGCTCTCACCTTGACTCGGACTTTGTCTATCGCGATCGATCTTTCTCGAACCGATCTGCCCGGAGCAGCCTCTATGGCTCCGACTTCATGGACTCAAGTCGTCGTCAGCCTTTCCAGCTCGACTTGTCCGAGCTGCTTGCTGACAAGAGAAGCCCGGGATCCGATAGCAATACCGCTCTGAATTCGGGCTTGAGACCTGTTTCCAGCCCTTTTCAACGGGCGGGTAGCCGTGGAAGCGGTAGCGGAAGCAATGGAAGTGGTGGAAGTGGTAGCGGAAGCGGCAGTCCTAGCTCTGTGTATGGTAAAACCAACTAGGACATGGGTTGGTTCAAGAGGCTTTCGCGGAGTCTTCTGTGCGGATCCCAAGGGTACTCCTGGTTGCGTGTGTTCTGTCTCCAATTTCTTCTTGTGTTATTCTCTCGGTGTGATGTTGTGCTTGATGTCGAGATGGGATTCTTAGGTCTCCCGACTTCTAGTGCTCCGCTCAATTCCCGTCGCCTGAGAACAGTCGATCCTGCGTCCTTCATCCTGTGTAGATTTCTTGGATAAAAAGAATCGAAAAGCCTACCATTTGCCGTCACTTGATCGTTCCAAAGTACCCAATATCAATTCTGTCCGATCAATCTTCGGTGCCAGAATCTGATCTGCCGTAGAGGATCTGCCTACCGAGTCGGCAGTGAGTACTATGCCTGCATAGTTTGGGTTACAAATTCAAGGGTACAGATCCGTCAATCTGGGAAGGTGTGAAAGGTAGATAATCTGTACATTTCTCGCCGCGTCTTTTCGATAAGTGGCACTTTTTCCCTCTTACATGTAAGAGAAATTCTATGTACAAAATGGCGAAAAATACGTAGGCGGTGCAAATCTTGGACACATCGCACTCTCGATAGACATGAGTGTTATTGCACTCACCCGTCAGTGGACGCCAGGAAGCAATATATATGTGTGGACAGAGTGGTGGGTCCCAGTTGAAACCCATACCCTAGGTTTTGATAGTTATATCTCATGGCCCATTCCCCAAAATTTTGTATTAGCATATGTCAGGCATAAATCCTTTGCAGAGCCGGACGATACTGACGTCTCCGCCTCTGATTCAGGAAGATGCCGCAAGAGCGCTTGCACGACGGTTCCAACGACGATTGTGTGGTCGTGGACCTCCACAACCTGCGGATTGAGTTGGCACTCGAACACAAACGGGAAGTCCTCGATGCTCTCCTCGGTGTTTGTCTGGCCTAGCTGGCTGATGGCTCTCCGGCGCAGGATGGGAAGCGGTCTCGTGACGGACCCGTCGGCAGAGACATGCTGCGCGAATTCAAAGTCTCCCTTTCCGCTTAGGAGGGCCAGATTGTGGTTTCCCCTGGAGAAATCCCGGGCCAGGGCTGCGGTTGCTGGGGTCGGGGCAAGCAGATGGACGAGGAACCGGCCTGAGGACTGGAGCGCGGTTAGGGTCTCTGATGGGCGGCGCACGTTGAAGGAGATGACGGGTGAGGGATGGAGGGTAACCGTGTTGAAGGAGGAGACGGTCATGCCGCGGAAGGCTTTCTCGATGGGGCCCTGCGGATCCGTGGCTGTGATGATGGCCACGGGGTAGGGTACACGGCGCATGAGCAGGCGGACTTGGTCGGTCAGTGGAAGCGCGCTACGGGCTGATGTCAGCTTCTTGGGTTCACTGCCAGCTTGCGAAGCTGGAGCCGAAGTTCCGTATTGTCTGCGAGGCCATGGTTGCTTCGGTGCTCCGCATCGGACAGTGAGGTTGGACAGCCGGTTAGGTAGAGCTAGTATAGCTTGTTGCTCTGGTCATGCTTGGTTAGACGATGAACAGGCGACAAATGCAAAGAATTAGGGCAAATCTTCCATACCAACGCCGATATTTCTGGCCCACAGCACGGATAGCGAATATGGCAGCTTCATCCCGCCGATGAGAGAGCGGACGGAGCTCTCGACGAGTGGAGCTCAGGGTATTATGGGCGAAAGCACGAGGGAACGATCAGAGAAAAGACCAACAAGTCTCTTAACACTCATCCTGAAAGCCCAGCAAATCTTCGACAACCTTCAATTGACAGCCATCATCAATTCGGCACCAGATCGTATCCACGCAGAAACCTCCGCGGTCCCGGACGATGAGAAAAAAACAGCGGAGGTTTACTGCTTACATAACAGCAGATCCGTGAACAATCCGCGAAATTTCTCGGCCAAAACCCATCGACCGATAAACCATCGCAACACTACTCCTGATACCCAATCCGATTGAAACCCCAGGAATTAACTATCCTCACTCTGCAGCCTGGGTTTCCTATCCGTGAACACAAATGTCAATCCACATTCCCCTCCGCCGCAGCGCGGTCAGCACCGCCCGAGTTCAGACATCCACCACCTACATCTGCTCGCAATGTCGACATGCCACACTCCTCCGGCGCCCCAAGCGCCCCTACACCTTCACGCAGCTCATCACCCTCTCCGACGGAAGCACCTTCACACATCGCACGACCTCCCCGACACCCGTCTACCGCTCGACCCGAGACACGCGCAACTCGCTGCTCTGGAACCCCTCGTCCAGCAAGCTGATGAACGTTGAGGAGGACGAGGCCGGTCGACTCGCCGCCTTCAGAGCCAAGTTTGGACGGAGCTGGGATGCGAACACGCCTGTTGAAGGAGAGACGGATACCAAGGCCACTGCTAAGGGCAAGGAGGCGGCTGATGCTGATGCTGCTGCTGCTGCTGCTGCTGCTGCTGAGGCCGCGCTGGCAGAGGAAGAAGACGACAATTTGCTGGACCTGATTAGTTCGTTCGGACAGGAGATGGAGCAGGAGCCTCCGAAGAAGAAGAAATAGGTTGATCCTATTGGGGCTGACTCTACGGTGGATTTGAGTGTATAATACGCAACGGAGGGCGGGTGACTTCAACGCAATCTTTATCTGGGTTTATGGTGCGTTGACGACGGAGGGCCACCTTTGATGTTGTGCGGAGAAATTTCTCTATTTTCTTTCTGGTTCCACAGCTTTTTTTTCGTTCGTCTGTCGGTTTTATGGCCTATGTACATGTATATCATACCTTCTGAAGGGGTTTCAGCACACTATTTGAATTGGACCTTGAACATGTCATTTTTACCAAAGCTTGAAGGAGACAGATAGAGTTTACACGGAAATCAACAGTTCAGAGAAAGCATCAATCATACTACGCTTCGAACGGTATCTGGTTTGCGTGCTCAGCGGGAGATCGAGATGGAACAAGTGAGTGCGGTTTAAAGGGCTATGGCGGCTCGCCAGCGAAGCAATACGTAGATCCGGGTCAAGCTAGGCCAAAGAATCATCGCAATTCAGTTATACATGGCGAGAAAAGGTCGAGAGATAGCCCAGGACGAGCTACGTCGCCTCCTCCGCAGCTACTGGGGCTGTACCGCTGGCTTCGTCTGTCGCCTGTTGCGCAGGAGCATTGCCTGCCACAGGAGGAGACGCAAAGAAGGGGATACCCTCTTCACCAGCATCCAACTGTAAGAGGAACGTCTCCCACAATTCGATCAACTGCAAGACTCATCAGTGAATCTGATCAGAAGCTTGACTAGCCCGGTAAAACTCACCTCCTTCTGCGCCTCTACTGCACTTTCCAGGAATGTCTCAACACCAGACTTGAAATCCTCCACCTTTTCTTTCTCAAATCTTTGCAATTCATTACGCATCAAACGGCCCATATCGTCGAATAACAGCCTGGCCTGGTGCACTTTTCTTTCCGCGTCGGCCACATCGGCGTTGGCTTGATTGAGGCGATCCTGCTGCGTCTTTCCCTGTCTGAGTAGCTTCTCCTGGGTATGCTTCCGTTTTTGCAGCTCGGATTCGGCCGCGTGCCAGCTATGGAAGGCTTTTTGTCGCTGAGAGAAAGCCGTCTTGACGCTTCCGATGATGCGAAGGTATTCATCGATGGTGATTCCTAGTGTCAGAACATCGTGCTGTGCTTGGCGCTCATAAAGTTCCTTGATGCGCAACTGCAAATCTGAAAGTCCGTCCAATGGACTAGAAAGGGCCGGAGACAACTCGACAGCCGCCAAGGCGTGAAGTGAAGACGAAAAATCGCCAGCCGCTTCTGCTAATCCCTTACGCTGCGCGACCACGACATCAATCGCCTTCAGCAAAGCTTTGAGCTGATTCTCCAGCGCATCCATGTATATCTTCCTATCGTGGAACCACTATTTCGACTCGAGTTAGCTTAATGACTTGACAGTATGCAACCCACAAGGCACTCACATCATCGTGTTCTACGAACTTTCCACCTCCGCCTACGCTAATTCCAAAGGAGCTGAACATTCCCTTGTTCTGACCTAGATCCGGTTCCCTGTTCTCCTTGTTCTTGACATCCATATTGAATGATTCACTTTCCAGGAATATCTTCAGATCCGCGTCATGCTGCAGGATAGGGTGTGTCGCGATCTTGTTGAGCATGCGCTCGAGTGCAGCTCTTCTAGACTCGACGAAGTTCGTATCAAAACGGCCAACAGCTTGCTTTTCGGGCGGAGGAGGCACAACAACACCAGGGTTGTTATTGTGCATGGAATTGTAGAGCCATAAGAAATCACGGTATCTGCGGCTGACCGTAAATTCTGGTTGTCGGTACGCCTTTGATGTCGTCTGTACCCAGTATCAGCGCCTTGCGCCCCATTTATGAATGGAAATGTAGAGCGGGGAGGTTCACCTTCGTTCGAACTTGGTACACGATGTGGCTACTTGTCAGATCTCCCACCTTGTGCGGATCACCCACTGTGATTTCGAATGTTGGCTTCGCAGCCTCTTCAATGCTGATACTGGGCTGAGATTGCCTCTTCGTCCCGTCCGCGTCTGCCCGAGGCTGTACGGGGGGAGGTCCCCTGAACCCCGCACCATCCTCTTCCAGATGTACTGAGTCTCCCAAACCACCAGCACTAGATGATTGCGATGTAGATGACGTCGGACGAGCACTGCGACCTGCAAAAGGCTCCTTCTGGGGTGGTGTTGGTGCTTGCTCGTTGACTGGAGCGAGACTGTCGGTGGGATTGTCTCCGAGTGGACCAAGGGGATCTACGGCGTCATCCACGGCTTCCAGCTTGGTGGCCTGCGCGCTGATTTTGCGAGCACCTCGCAGGTTTCGTCGAACAGGAGAACGGGTAGCGCTTGGGCTGGCTGGTTGTGTTGATCGTTTCGGTGCTACAGAAGCGATGAGCTCATGTCTCAGGACGTGACGAGGAGTGCGCGGTATGTAATACCGCGAGTGAACATACCGACTTCTTCAGTTTCTGGCTTCTGTGCACCATGACTTGACTGCGAGGGCACATCTATGCTTACAATCAGAGAGGGCAATTTGGAGTTGACTGGTGACACTGGGTTGCCTGCTTACCGCCCCACGGGGAGTCTCCAGTATCCAGATCCATGATAGCTGTATGGGTTTAGAGGCAATGGATGCGAATATTGCAGAGATGATGAGACTAACAGTCTGTATAAAAAAAACTCGAAACGACGACAAGACCCAAAGCCGATGGGGTGTTATCGATTGCAGTTGACAGCTGGAGATTGTATGTAGAAGTCGGACGGAATGATCCGCGCGGTCGTCCTGCGACTAAGTTACAGCCTAGCTCCCCGCCAAGGCTTCCCTGGTTGGGTTGCATAGGAAGCTACTGTTGAGCTTTGATAACCATTATTTCTCGACAACACAGGTGATCGAGAGATAATTGATACTTATTGAGCTTGTATTACGCTGATTGATCGGATCGTGGCTTGAATATCTCAGATAGGCCTATACACTTTTGCCGGCTTAAGGACCAATACTACTAAGTAGTCTAACCTGTGAGAGGTTCTCAAATGTCTAGACAAATTTCATGTATCGTCATATACAAAGTGCATCCCTAGTCATCATATCGCGTGCTTCGTCATTATACTGCTGATGTACTCCCCTTCCTGAGCTAGTCCTCATCCTCCGATCCTTGTTGTTGGCTTGAGCCTTTATTTGACCCACGGAAGGCCGAGCTTGTGCATTTCAACAGCGAGCTGGAAAAGATAATCCAAGCTCTCGCACTGCGTCTTGGCTTTGGCAACGTCATCACCCCAAACATAACTGTATACAGTCATCAGCTCAAATGGCTCAATATAACACGAGCGGATACAACTCACATTCCATGTCTCCTCACCAGGACAGCGTAGGTGTCCGGGTATTGGTTCATGGCCTTCTCCAAGCTTCCAGTGAGATCCTCCTCGAACGCAGTGTTCTCGATGATAGGGATCTTAAGGGTGTCGAAGAAGCCCAGCATGCCCTTGCCCTTGCCTCGAGGAATACCCTTGATCTGCTCAATGTTGCTGATCTCAAAGCAAGCGTCTGGACCCTTCTCGCGCTCAACCAAGAGCGTCACCAACACGGCCCACTGGGAGTGCGTGTGGATGCAGCATCCAGCGCCACGCTCGAAAGCAGTAAGGAACAGTGGAGTGCATGCGGACGGCTTCAGTTCGAGGGGCTTGCGGATGTACTTGCGGTCGGAAGGAGGGTACTTGGGAGTAGGGAACTCCAGGACAAAAATATTGTGTGGTTGAATCAATTCCTTTTGGACTCCTGAAGGCGCGATAAAGATATGGTCGCCGCGACGGATCGAAGTCTATGCATTGATTGTACTCTCGTCAGTGTAACAGTCGGCTTCGCGAAGGACGCGACTACTCACTCCACCACCAGTACCAGTGACCCAACCCCAATTGTAGAATTTGCGGCAGAGCTCGGGGATCAAGTTGGCTGGGTGTTCTGGGTCAGAAGACTGGACCAGATGGTCATTGTTGTTGTTTTCAACTTCTTGGGCCATGCTGTAAGCTCGATGCTGATGAGAGACTGAGGTGGTTACGCAGTCGTTGCTGAGATAATGGCATAAATTTCGAATGATTACGCTTGTGCAGAGTCAATATGACTCAAGTGACACCCACACGAGGGTAATTGGAATCAAAAGGGCAGATAGATAGAGGATCAATGATATGGTTGCGTTGCGCGGGGAATGGAAATATTTTTGGCGGGGAGTCTATCGCGCAATCTCCGTTGCCTTATCCATAGTAGATTGTCCAATTGATCAGGCGGTAGACTCCTCGTGGATGATCCGTAATAAATTCTGAAGATAACCTAAGCAGAATATCCGTTATAAGCTTGAGGTTATGATATCGCAAAGTAAGTATAGAGCTCAATGATCTTCCTAACTATCTGCTTTAGATACCATCTGATAGCAGATATCTACTCTCCTATCCCAGAAAGTTAGATCATCTCTGGCTATCGACAGAACATTGGAGAAGCACCGCTAAACCGCAATAGGCAGGCGGGACCTTACCCCAAGAAGCAATCCAGGCTCAAGCAAGAAGAGGCCACCTTGAACTTCCCGGCACTCACTGGAAGCACTGCTGCTTTGTCGCTTGCATATTTAATGCTCCTGTAGTCTAATTGCTCTGAGTAGTCAGTGGACCATCACACCTGGCCTCACCTCTATCCCTTCTTACTACCTAGGTATATAACAGTTATTCTTGCCCAGTTGTCCTCTTCTTCCCTTCTCCTCCCTTGCCTTACTCCATCCTGTGTGGATCATCTTGTGGTACAGCTTCCCTCCCCCAAACAAAACACCTTCCTATTTCCTTTACGGAGGTTCAATTGCTTGTTTGTTTGTCTGATTGCTTACTTGTCCATCATTTGTATTCAGAGATTCTCGGGGAATATCAGTCTCAATCCCGTCATCGTCCATCATGCGTTTCAACGCAGCTATCACTGGCGCCCTCGTCTCCTCGGCCACTTTGATGGGCCAAGCTCATGCTGAGGAGACTGAGAAGAAGGCTGACGCTACTTCGCTCGTGGA